ATCGTCTGTATACATATATGCTATCAACAACTCAATGATATGTTCTCTCATAGGATGTTATGCTATTAACTTTATACACATATGCTAGCAACAACTAGATGATATAATGTAATGTACTATTTTTTTTTAATTAAGGTACTATCTTATTTAACTTAAGTAATTAATTTAATTAAATCAATATATTAATTACAAACGTTACTATAATTAATGATCTCAATAATTATGGTATGAAATTTTATTAATTATGTTATTAAATCTTATCTAAATAGTACCACATAGCTGTCGGCTGTATACAACTATACTATCAACAACTTGATGATATGATATTACGTTATACCCGGTATGTTGTACATGTGTTATGGGTTGAATTAAACTTTATATTTATTAAATATGACATATTTGTTTGAAATTAAAATATTTTGCCAATAATTTTATTTGAAGTAATTAGTTCAAATAAAATAAGAAATTGATTTGACATTAATTATAAATGTTACCATATTTATAAAAAAAATCTCATTAATTATGGTATCAAATCATATCTAAGTCTTAATTCATAGGATGTTATGCTATCAGTTGTATACACATATGCTATCAACAACTTGATAATATGATGTTACGTTCTACACTATTTGTTGTACATGTACTTTGTTCAATTAAATTTAATATCTACTATATATGACATATTTTTTTACAATTAAAATATTTTCACCCATAGTTTTAATTATAGTAATTAGTTCAAATAAAGCAAAAAAATTAAGTTGATATTAATTATAAATTCTACCATAATTATAAAAAAATCTTATTAATTATGGTATCAAATCTTATATAAATCTTAACGCATATGATGTTATGCTATCGGCTGTATATACATATGCTATCGATAATTCGATGATATGATGTCGCATTTTACATTGTTTGTGGCACGATTTGGTTGTTGAAAAATAGAAAACATTCAAAACACAATTTTTATTATATAGTTCATTTATAATGACAGTGCTTCCGCTTAATGTATATATGCTTTGACATAGTTATAAATATGCTGCGTATAATATAGCAATATGCTATTAGATGTACTTAAGGAAGAAGCTTCTGAAATTCTTCTGACGTGATCTTCAAATTCCAAATCATAAAAATATTTGAAATTAAGTGTGTTGTTCAAATGTTTGAAGATATACTTGATATATATATAAAAAAAAATGGTGATTATACTATGAATTCACACTTATTTATAAATTACGATGCGTTGAATCCCGATGGATCCAACGGAAACAATTGCATCTCCTCAACCGTAGCAGATAGGTTGCTCTCTTTATTGTTAGATTTAGCTATTCTCCATCTCTTTTTTTGCCTTTCGGAGACGCTTATTGACATCTTCCTTTGTATCCTACCTCTCGGATTCTCCTCGGGCTTCAAACTCAATCTCTTCATTAATTTATCATTGGTTGATTGACCTGTAAATATTCAAGGCAGTCAAGTAAGTATGAAATTCAACATGTTGTTCATAGCTAAAATAAAACTTCCACGCAAATTTAATTTATACTTAATTAATCATGCATTCGGCGCAATGCTAATAGTATGCTATTTTAATTATAATATGTTTTTTGTACCATACTTATATGATGTCAAGTATAGAATAATATGCTATTAAAAATAATAAAATATGATATTGAGTATACTCCGATCAATAATTAACGGATGTTATTTTATATGCAGTAGTAATTAAAATGTAACTTTATATGCAGTAGTAATTATAGTAACATAAATTTATTATATCAATCTTAATTAATATAAATTATATAAGGAATAGCAATCATTTAAGAAATTAAAAAAATATATCCACAAATATTTATACCATTTGTTTTTACATTTATCCGTATGTTATTTCGAAATTTCTTCCTAAACTCTTTTATGGTTAGGTTCCATTTGTATATTTGGGGGAATTTGGCATATCTTAACAAAACCTTTTGCGTAGGCTCGACACGCCCTTGTATGGTCTGGGGAGCTTTACTTATCTTATAGTTTAGGTGTTTTATCCGTCTTTGGTTTCATTGCTTGTTGTATCAAATGGTATAGTTTATTTGTCAATATCTTGGAGGAAGAATTTCTCATTCGCAGCCCTTTAATTTAAAAAAACAAATCTCTGAATTTCGAATCTGCATTGAATCCCTTACAAACTAATGGATGTCCCTCTTGCTCAAAACAATGCTACTCACCAAAAAAATAAAAATAGAGAAAGTTGTTCTTGCCGGACTAAACCTTCCTCTCCTTGCAGTCAAGCTATCGGTTGATTCTTTGCCACGTGAAGAAAATGAACAATATTTTAGGAGACGCGCATCCCAGCCTTGCTATAGCATACAACAATAATGTCTCGGATTCGTTACTAAACACAAGTAAGCTTGTATAGGTGTTTTGCCGGCTCGTTGGTAGGAATATACTCAACAGCATATTTCATTATTTTTTATAGCATATTATTCTATACTTGACATCATATAAGTAGGATACGAAAAATATCTTAGACTTATGCGATTAGCGATGATCGAACTAAATAGCAGATTTTATTGTTTTTAATAGCATATTATTCTATACTTGACATCATATAAGTTGATACAAAAAATATCTTAAAATTAAAATAGCATACGATTAGCGTTGCGCCAAATGCATGATCAATTAAGTAATGTTCACATTTTTGTAGATTTATTTAGCAGAAGCCGCAGAAATTGGAAACGTTAATAGTATAAATTAAATTTGCGTGGAAGTTTTATTTTAGCTATGAACAACATGTTGAATGTCATACTTACTTGACAGCCTTGAATATTTACAGGTCAATCAACCAATGATAAATTAATGAAGAGATTGAGTTTGAAGCCCAGGGAGAATCCGAGAGGTAGGATACAAAGGAAGGTGTCAATAAGCGTCTCCGAAAGGCAAAAAAAAGAGACGGAGAATAGCTAAATCTAACAATAAATAGAGCAACCTATCTGCTACGGTTAAGGAGATGCAATTATTTCCGTTGGATCCATCGGGATTCAACGCATCGTAATTTATAAATAAGTGTGAATTCATAGTATAATCACCATTTTTTTTATATCAAGTATATCTTTATAAATTTGAACCACACACTTAATTTCAAATATTTTTATGATTTGGAATTTGAAGATTACATAAGACTTTCAAAAGCTTCTTCCTTGAGTACTTCTAATAGCATATTGCTATAGTATACGCAGCATATTTATAACTATGTCAAAGCATATATACATTAACCGGAAGCACTATCATTATAAATGAACTATATAATAAAAATTGTGTTTTGAATGTTTTTTTTATTTTTCAACAGCCAAATCGTGCCACAAACAATGTATAATGCGACATCATATCATCGAATTATCGATAGCATATGTATATGCAGCCGATAGCATAACATCATATGCATTAAGATTTATATAAGATTTGATACCATAATTAATAAGATTTTTTTTATAATTATGATAGAATTTATAATTTATATCAACTAAATTTTTTGCTTTATTTGAACTAATTACTATAATTAAAACTTGGATAAAAATATTTTAATGGTAAAAAAATATGTCATATATAATAGATATAAAATTTAATTGAACAAAGTATCTGTACAACAAATAGTGTATAACGTGACATCATATCATCAAATTGATAGCATATGTGTATACAACTGATAGCATAACATCCTATGAATTAAGACTTAGATATCATTTGATACCGTAATTAATAAGATTTTTTATAAATATGGTAACATTTATAATTAATGTCAAATCAATTTCTTACTTTATTTGAACTGATTACTTCAAATAAAACTATTGGCAAAATATTTTAATTTCAAACAAATAGGTCATATTTAATAAATATAAAATTTAATTAAATCCATAACACATGTACAACATACCGGGTATAACGTAACATCATATCATCGAGTTGTTGATAGCATAGTTGTATACAGCCGACAACATAACATCCTATCTGGTACTATTTAGATAAGATTTAATAACATAATTAATAAAATTTCATACCATAATTATTAAGATCATTAATTGTAATAATAATTGATATATTAACTTAATTAAATTAATTACTTAAGTTAAATAATATAATACCTTAATTAAAAAAATTATTACATTACATCATATCATCTAGTTGTTGATAGCATATGTGTATAAAGTCGATAGTATAACATTCTATGAGACATCATATCAATGAGTTGTTGATAGCATATATGTATACAGACGATAGCATCTTATGGGTTACGAACTAGATAAGATTTGATACAATAATTAATGTTATCGTTAATTATAATAACGTATCTTATTAATGGAACGTTATAATTAACTAACTTAAATTATATATATTAAAAAAAATCATTCTTAAATATCTTTTTATACGAATTTATAAAATTGACCTTAATTATTGATGTCAATTGGATCGATAATTATAATCAATCAACGGTTGTAGTAAAGTAAGTTGTAGTAAAGTAAGCACCGTACCAAAAGAGTCGAAGCGAATTGCAATTAATGTAATGTATATTTTCAAAAAATAACATATACATATACACATACTTACATGTCTTAATGCATGTAATTAAATACATGCAGAATGATATTACAGCAATTATGTGGTATAATTAATGACACTATAATGTTATAGCATCCATGTATATTTTAAGTTGGGGCTCATGTTCATATACAAAGGCACTTTATCGAGTTTTATCCTAAAATCAACATATACAAAGATGGGCCTACATGGCCCTGGCCCGTCGGGCTGTCTAACAGATATGGGACGAAGAACGCGAGAGCCACTCCGGCCCGGAACAATAAACATGGGCTTTATAAAACCTGGCCACGTCATATGGGCCTATCGGATTGGGCTGGCCCACCACCCAACTCAAGCTCAAGCCCAGCCAATGGTGCACTGTGTCTGTCTGTATAACTGGCGGGAAATGGCGTCGAAAACCCTCTCTTCTTTCTTCTTCCTTCACCATCACAAACACGCCAGCTTGACTTCACATATAGCATTCCATCGAATCTTCTTTTCCGTTGGACTGAGTCGGAAATCCATTATGGATTCTACTCTCAAGGTTTGTCGCTGGTCAGATTTTCATTTTGGTTGTTTTTTTGGAGTGTGATGGACCTTTCTTCTGAATGCTCTTTCTTGTACAGAAATATTTTGGATTTTCGAATTTTCGGCCGTACCAGAAAGAAATAGTGGAAAATATCCTGCAAGGAAAAGATTGCGTGGTGGTTATGGCTACGGGCAGCGGCAAATCCTTGTGGTAAGTTGTGTCTTCTCTCCATTTATGTAGTTGTATCATGTATGTCTACTGCAGTAAATCCGTGGCTGAACTTGATTTTGTATTGTATTCTATTCTGTGGGTTAAACATTGAAATGATGAAGCTATCAAGTGCCGCCATTGATTGCACAGAAAACTGCTGTGGTCGTTAGCCCACTAATATCGTTGATGCAAGATCAGGTTTGTGTTTTTCATTTTTCCTTTGTAATTTGTGCAACTGGTTTTGGTTGTATTGAGTTGATGGTTTTGTTCAGGTAATGGCTCTGCAGCAGAGAGGAATACTGGCTGACCACCTCTCTAGTGCTCAGTCAGATCCAAATGTGCAAACGAAAGCTGAAAGTGGTCAGTATGATATTTTGTATATGACTCCCGAGAAAGCCTGCCTGCTTCCTGTCAGGTGCATTTATAATTATACGGCTTGACAGATAATTTAGTTGTTTCTGTTTTAAGTCTTCCCTTCGTTGATAAGCTACCCGACACATTGTGCCGATCAGTTTCATGAATTGTGGTTGTTGTGCAGCTTCTGGGCGAGATTGCTGGATTCAGGAGTTTGCCTATTTGCTGTTGATGAAGCACATTGCATATCTGAATGGGGTCATGATTTCAGGTGACTTCATTATTAGTGATATTCATATTGATTGATGTGCTTGGTTATAGTTTTCATGTTTTAAATACAGAAACTATGTTTGGGGGTCAATCAATTCTTTTATCCATTTGTAATTCTAATCTTTGCTAAGCTCTTGTGCAGTTCATTTCCTTTTACCATTGTTCTAAGTTTTGCCTGCTTCACAGAATGGAATATAAACAAATGGACAGATTACGTGATGTTCTTCTAGATGTTCCCTTTGTTGCATTAACTGCAACTGCAACAGAAAAGTAAGCTTCAATGCACAGGCGTTATCTTTTCTGTATTTCCTCAATGATTATCTGTTTAGTAGCCTGTGACATTCACCTTCTTGAATATGTTGGTTAATCTAAGATTGAATATACCCTTATTTTCCCTTTTCAAGTATGTATAAGAAGTTGATATTCTTGATCATTTATTATTCAGTTACATTTAACACCATTCTACATGAAGGCTAAATAAAAAAAGTTGTTACATTCAGAGTCCGACTTGACATTGTAAAGTCGTTGAAGATGCTGTGCCCTTTTGTAACCATTGGGACATTCAACCGTGGGAATCTCTTCTACAGTGCCAAATCTTTTAAACGGAGCGATGCTTTTCTAAATGAGCTTGTCACCGAAATCATTGCATGTGTCAAAGCAGGTTCAACAATAATTTACTGTAGTACTGTCAAAGATGTTGAACAGGTCATTTCATTTGTCCTTCATGTAACTTGCTTATCAGTTTTCTTCTTCCTGCATAAGTTTTTTATTTTTTTTATTTTTTATTTTTTTTTCCTGCATAAGTTTGCTTCTTGAAAATGTATGACCCCAAATATTATGAAGAAAGCTAATGATCTATCATGGTTTTCTAGATTTGTGCGTCCCTTAAGGAAGCAGGAATTGAAGCTGGAATGTACCATGGCCAAATGTCTAAAAAATCACGTGAAGACTGCCATAGGTTTGAGATGCAACAATTTATTTTGAAAGTGGATTACACATTTTTAATTTGTTATTTGGAGTGGAGGATTTAATTATGTATGATGCACTGCCAATTCTATATGGTAATAAAATTTGTTCGGCTTCCAATTGGTATCCAATACCGCTCAACTTTGTACTGTAAATACAATGTTTCTGATACAGTATGAGTCTTTGCAGATCTTTTATTAGGGATGAATTTTATGTCATGGTTGCAACTATAGCTTTTGGCATGGGCATCGACAAACCTAATATAAGACATGTAATTCACTATGGCTGCCCAAAGAGTTTGGAGTCGTATTACCAGGAAAGTGGACGTTGTGGTAGAGATGGAATTCCCTCCTTCTGCCGTCTTTATTATGCAAGAAGTGATTTTGGAAAGGGAGACTTCTATTGTTCAGAAGCTCGGACAGTATGTATCTTTACCTTGAACTTAACAGTTACAATTGTGATGTCCTGTTTTCAGAGTGTAACATGGTATATAGTGTGGTTTCAAGACTCACCACATTAAAGCCACAGAACAGTGTGCTGTTATGATACTTTCTGAAAACAGGCGTGACAAAAAATAGTGACAGACCATTTTTGCTCTAATATTTCTTTTAGATTCTGTGTTTGACTAAAAGATTTCATGTACTTGTGCATTCATGATTCAACCAGGATGAACAAAGAAAAGCAATAATGGAATCATTCATATCTGTGCAACGCTATTGTATGCTAACGACTTGCAGAAGAAAGTTTCTGTTGGAATATTTTGGGGAGAAGTGCCCATCAGATAAATGCGGTATGAATTGTAGCTGTCATGGTTTTTATACGTCGACAACAAAATGAAATATTATTAAGCCGGATTATGTGAAGGTGTTCTAGTGTCAATATGTAGCATCTAACTAGGCTTAACTTTTTGACGTGCTCAAAAAATGATATTTTATTCACAAGAAAAGATCATTGAGTGTTTACTTGTACGTTGAGATGTTAACCTCTCTTATTTTGTTCTATGGAAATTATTTTAAATAGAAGTGTCTGTGTGATGAACTTCTCTGGTTGATCTCTGGACTTGATATGTATTTAGAATATAATGGATGGTGTGATTATAATCAGCTGCATGTAATGTATGCAGGAGCTTGTGATAATTGCACCAGCTCAAGGAAAGAAAGTGATATGTCTAGGATGGCATTTCTTCTAATGGCTTGCATTCGATCATGTGGTGGTTCCTGGGGTCTGAATTTACCTGTAGATGTTCTTCGCGGATCTAGAGTAAGTTTCCTGCTCATATTAGTCAAACTTCCACTGTGGCATAGCGTGCAACGGGTGTGAAAAGTTGGATGTTTTAACTTTTAATCTCAAGCTATGTTTTTTGTTTCCAGCATTGCATCATCTTGTCTTGAATATCCATTCTGTTGATGGATCTGTTCTTTTTCTTCGTCATTCCTTGTTATCCTTCTTTTTTTACTTTTTCCCTTAATTCTTTGTGCTTTCATAAACTGAATTTGAGCATTATTACTTTCTGACTTTGTTTCGAAGATGTTTTCATTAAATTAACATCCGAATGATTTGAAAAACAATAGCTTTAAGCTCAGATAGTGTTTGGGAGTTTCTGTTCACCATAACAGTGCTCCATCTGGGATTGCAGTCCAAGAAAATTATTGACGCTAATTTCAATAAGCTACCATTCCATGGCCTGGGAAAGGAAATGCCAGCTAATTGGTGGAAGGCGTTAGCTTATCAGTTAATTTCACAAGGTATGCATCAGGAACCTCTTTAAACATTGATTTATGTCTGATGGCATTTTTGTATATCTCCTGCAAATTTCTTTCTTTGCGTAAAAAGCATTGTTACATGTCCAGATTATCTGTTAGAGACCTTCCAAGATGTGTACAAAACTGTAAGGTAAATTATTCATAATCTCGACAAATCTCAATATGTGTTTCCATTTGCACCCATATGTTTATTAGCCTTAGTTGTGGTGAAACAGAATTACTTCATAAGGAAGTTAGTTTCATGTCAACTTGTGCAAGTTTCTCGGATCAATAATGATTATAATCTGCGTCCCAATGCTAATTGATTAATAATGGAAAAAAAATGTGACCTTCAAATAATTCTCCTAGTTCTAGGCATGGCAAAAACTTGATATTTCATTAATGTTATATTCTCTATTTCCTGGCCATGACTTCATTGACTGATGAAGCCTCCTCAAATGTTCTAATATCTTGTTCTTTTATCAGACTTGGACCAAAAGGAGTTCAGTTTTTGAATTCCTGCAGTCCTGATCATATGCCCCCATTATATCTAACCTTAACCCCAGAACTGGTGGGTGACAACACAACCAAGGATGCAGTTGATGAGGCAGGTGGTAGTCTGACCCAGCTTCAAGTTGCTGGTTTATCAAAGGTATGGATACTCCCTAAAGCATAAGCATTCCACCCAAGTAGTTTCATGGTAGAAATTCAACTTTATAGTACTCGTTACCTTCGTGATTCATGCATTTCATTGCTGAATGTTTCTGCCTTTTTCTGTTGAGTGCAGGTTTGTATTCTCCTTTATTGCTTTCTTTGATAATAAACTTAAACTAATATGGTTCCATCATCACGTTTATTTTTGTTTGTCTCTGAGTTTAGCATGAGGATCAGTTCTACAAAATGCTTGTAGAAGAGAGACTGAAGCTTGCAAGGGACCATGGAACTGCTCCGTAAAGTCTTTGTTTTCTTATTGCCCTCAAATTTATTACTTTCGATAAAACATCTGGGAGGATAATTGTAAATTTTCATTCTTCGACATTTGTACATTTAACTCTCAGATATGCCATTTGTGGCGATCAAACATTAAGAAGAATAGCCTTGACAAGACCTTCCACAAGGGCTCGACTGGCAAATATTGATGGTGTAAACCAGGTATAGGATAGAGTCTTGCTTCTTACATAGATTTTTGTTTTCCATTCCTACTATGGTGGAGCATGTTTGCAGTGACGTGATTGATAGGACCCTTGTTTCCAGTGTTTTCTGTGCTGTGCTCTCTTCTTTAAGATGCTTGTTTATGTTGAGTAACCAGGTTTTGTTGACTGGGGAAAATCATCTCTATTTCATTGACATAAAGATCTTGATAAGAAATCCTTTAGTAATTTGAATTAGGATGATAAGAAGGGATGCTGTTCTTCCATCAAAAGTTATAATTACATGCTGAGATAATTTGAAATGTTCTTGTACAATTGGCCACCTGAGACATGAAATTATAAACTAACCCTTGGGTGAATAATTTTGGACTTTCCTAATTGAACTATAAATGTTGGAACTTAATGAGTTTGATATGTAAAATGATGATAGGCAACAAGCTACTTCAACTGTAGTTTATCAAAGTTAATAACTGGAGGTTATGTTATGCTGTTATACTTTGGCCTCTTCTATGTTGAATGCTTGAAAAAGTGGGCAAAATAGTCATTTCTTAAATTGTCTTCATTGTGCATTCTTATCATAGTAGAATTAGATGAGTAAACCAGAATGTTGTTTAGTTTATCTATTTATCAATAAAAGGCCTAAAATGCACTTACAAGGCTGTTGATACACAAAATCCTGTACTTACTGATACAAAAACCAAGGTCCCACCTTTGCTGGATATCATAAGGAACACTTAGATTTGCCTCGAATAAAATAATTTACCACTATATGATATGCATATAAACAATGCCATAATGAAGTAAACATATTGGAATAGACGTACTTAGTCTATAGTCATCATATTGACTGGTACAAGTAGATGTTTTAGAGATTCAATTTCAGCAAGCATATTACAAGGGCTGTAATTCGTCTGGACCAATTTCTGCAAACTCTTACTATTTCTTTTGATCCCTGTAAGCCCATCTAGGATGAACTAAGAAGTTGCACCGCTCTCTCACTTCCAATATGCAAACTATATTTCATGATGTTTACATTCATCCTATATTTATTGCTCTGAATTGCTATAAGTTCCTTTCCCGATTTTGATCTTTGCTCTTCCAAATAAGATGGTATGCTTGAATCTTGAATTTCTTCTGCTCAAGAGGGTGATGTGGGATTCGCCTTGGCATTTATGCACTGATGGAAAATTTTCATTTGTATATGTAGTATTTATTGAAAACATATGGGGACCGTTTGTTACTAGTCATCCAACATCTATCACAAGAGTTGGGCCTCTCTTTGGATGGAGAGCTCCCGGCAGAACCAACAAAGGTTGCACCGGACAATAGTGAAAAGATTGGAGCTGTCACTGTGCACAACAATAATAGACTGACACCTGCCAAACTTGAAGCTTGGAAAATGTGGCAAGAAAATGGCCTTACAATCCAGCAAATTGCCGTGAGTCTTGTCTTGAGAGCATTTATCTCATGGATCTATGGGCTTCTAACAATTTTGTGAAAGCTTACATGTTAGTTTTTATTTTGTAGAACCATCCAGGTAGAGGAGGTCCTATAAAAGAACAAACTGTCTTCAGCTATATTCTTGAAGCTGGACAAGGAGGTTGCTCGGTAGATTGGGGAAGATTCTGTCTAGAGATTGGACTCACACAGGAAATATGTAAAAGCGTTCAGGACGCTGTTGCAAAAGTTGGGAAGGGAAAGCTGAAACCTATAAAGAATGAATTGGCTGATGAGGTATGCTAAAATCAAGATTTCTTAAATTTGCTTCATAAGCAAGGATTGTTACCATATATCAAAGTGCTTCTTTGTTATATTTTTGTGTTTGTTTTCGTCTTCCATTGCCATGAGTATTCGAATGTCTTTTTATAAAAAAACTTCAGGTAAGTTATTCTCAGATAAAATTATGGTTGGAGATGGAAGAGATGGGATTATCGACTGGAATAACTCCGGCTAGCCATCAGCAGCAGCAGCAGCAGCAGCAAGAGGAATCCCTAAATGAAACATCAAAGCCCTCTGTCCAGAGTAAACAATCTCAACCCAATCTTGATCATATTCCAAGTAGAGAAAGCGAGGAACCAGCAGTAGCTGTTACTGAGGATGATCCTACCCGAATTACAAAACGGCAGAAACTGGATGTGCAGCAAATGGAACAGTCTGTTCCCATGGAGGAGGAGGAGGCGACAGAGAGCTCCATCCTCGACTGGCTCAGTAATTTTGAACAAGGGGTAAGTTTTGTTTTGAAATGAATTAATGGCCGATAATATTATTCTTACTATTATTTTATATTAACGCTGCTGCCTGCAAATTTGGTCAGGCTACGGTATCGGAACTCTTGCAGCATTTCAAAGGATCAAAACAAGAGACATTAAGTAGAGTGCTTGAGCAAATGGAGGGTGACTTTTTGATTTTTAAGAAGAACAATGTTTATAAACTCATGTAATAAATAAATAAATAAAATGCCTTGTTGAGTCCCTAAACTCTCTCTCTCTCTCTCTCCAATTAGTGATTATGTGTTCAAAGAGTAAATAAATGTATATTCAAAACAGAATTAGGTTTTGTTTATCGAAATTTGATTTGGTCTTTCACTACTTATTACTGTAATGTTTAAATTTTGTAAAATTATATATATATATATATACATTTATTATAATATATAGAAAATTAATTTTATATTTGAAATATTTCATAAAATATTTTTACAATCATATAAAATATTGATTCCATACAAATTTTAAAGTTTGTTTGGTGTTCCAAATACTATTTAAAATATATTATTTTTTTTATAAGAATATCGTATTAAAATAATATTTAAATTTTAATTCAAAATTAAATTTTAAACTTCAGTCAAAGTCAAGTAAAATTTAGAAAGTTAAACCTAAATTTAACTTAAATCAAAACTAAACAAATTTTAAAGACTTAAACCTAAATTTATTACTAGTTTACTAAACATTTATATGGTTTTGTTTAATACAAATATTAAAAAATAAATATTATAAAACTTTAGTAAATAATTAATAGAAAATGATGGAATAAACAAATTTTTATTTTGGCACATCCGACTTAATATCATTTTTTTTAATCATTTTTATAATGTCTTGTTGAGACATGAGAATAGCTAGATTTGTCCAAATAGTTCAAACTGTCATTACTGTCGATTTTGATTTATCAAAAGCTAAATCGAAATTGAATATTTTGAATTTTGATTTTGATTTTGATTTGACGATTTATTACAGTTTTAAAACCGCCGTTCCAATTTAAAAATGATTTGTTATATTTATATATTTTAATATTTTTTCTTTTTTATGTTCTAAAATTTTAACTTTTTAAAAAACTATTGGTTTCAATTTCAATTTTATTAGATATATAATTGGGAAAAAAATCAATTTTGATTTAAATATAAAAAACTCATCAATTTTAGTCTCATTATAAACAATTTAAATAATTTTGGTCCACCGTTAAAAAACTAACGGAAATTGCTGACATGAACATGTCAGTTAATTTAAAAATTATACGGCTATATACAATCATACACGGTTGTGTATAATTTAGTGTACAATTATACACAACCATGTTTTATCACACGGTTATGTTGAATTCAACACGGTAGTGTACTTTTTTTTTTCTAATTTTTTTTTGTTATATTTTTTTTTTCAAAAAAATTGAATTTAGAATAGTAGATATAGTTAAAATGGAAAAAATCAATAGTAATCGTAATATAATTAAAATGGAAAAAATCATAGTAATCGTAATATAATTAAAATGTATAAATTTTAATTCAAATATAAAAATTTATATAATATGTTTTTTGAAAGATTTTACCTAAAATTCTATTATTCATAAAAAAAAAAAAAAATTAGGCAAAATCAGTAAATTTTTATATTTAAACTAAAATTGATACATTTTAATTATATTATAATTATTATTGATTTTTTTTTCATTATAACTATATTAACTATTCTAAATTTAAAATATTTTTTTCTTAAAAAAAATATATAACAAAAAAATAAATTTTTAGATTAAAACAGAAAGACACATGACAGTGTAGAATTTAATATGACCGCGTGAAATCACGACCATTTATAATTGTACACTAAATTATACACGACCGTGTGACAATATGGTCGTGTATAATTATACATGTCATGTAGTTTTCATGTCAACCCCGTTACGTTTACGTCAGCAATTTTCGTTAGTTTTTTTAACTGGGACCAAAATTAATTGAAATTGTTTATAATATAACTAAAATTGATTGAAATTGTTTATAATATGATTAACATTGATAAATTTTTTATATTTTGACCATAATTGATAAATTTTCATTATATTTGAACAAAAATTGATTTTTCCCCTATATAATTATTATATACTATTGTATAAAAATTATATATATAATACTCCACCCGTCGTACCTTTTGTGCCAGGTGTGTTTGTTTGGGGGATTGAATTTTAAATACATTATTCATCGTATTTTTTTCCTAAATAACATCAAATCAAACACCTATTTTTTATTTTTATATTATATTAAAAAGCAATTTTACATTCAAAATATTACATCAATACCTATTTATATCACATCATACCACTATTCAAATTCAAATTTTTTACTATTCAAATCCCAATTCAAAATCCAAACTCTCAAACAAATACACGCTAGATAAAATATAATTAGTAAATAATTAAATAATACATTAATAAAAATAATTATAAATTAAAATTAAAATAATCAAATGGTATAATTAAAATATGAAAAAAATGTAGATTGCGAAATTTAAAATGCACATTTAAAAAATATATAATCATATAAAGGATAAATAAAATGAGAAAAAAATAGAAATAGTAGACAAGTGAAATGCTGAGTAATTGATTAAATCATTACATTAACCATTCGAATAATAAACTTAATAAATAGTTAACTTAAAATTTTAAATAAAAATAGATATAAAGAAATAGTAATGTATTAGATAATACTATTATTTAAATTAAATATATAAAAATCATAAAATTTAAAATATAAATATATAAAAATAGTATTGTATTATTCTTTTCTAAATTATTGATCTTGATCTTTCTTATTAATATTGATATATACTCCTTCCCGTATAAAATATTTATATCTTTTATTTTTTACCTATTCCGTATGACTTGCCATATTATCTGAAACAGAGAAAATATATTTTTTAATTTTGATAGAATAATAATTCTTCAGCTCTCTTTATCGTGTTCCGATAATTGTATAAACAAGAATGAAATAAAAGCATAATTAGTAAATATATTAATAAAAATAATTATAAATTAAAATAAAATTGACGTGTCTAATTATATTTATTTGAAGGAAAAATGACACAAGAGAGAGCAACAGCTTGACGCGGTATATGAGACGGGCTGTGACTGTATTCAAAACATGACGCATCCAATCCGCCGCACGCCAGCCTCTTCCTCGCCATTCTTCTTCTTCCCATTCTCTTTCCTTCTTTTCTTCCTTTTTCTTTTTCTTCACTCACCTGCTGCTGCCCCGTCCGGTTCGAACAGGTGGTTTAAGGTTCGGAGAAAAAAGGAACCGAAACCGATGGCGGTATGAAACCGGAGAACCGGCGATTCCAACCGCCGGTTCGAAGCCGGTTTGCAAGCTAGCCTCTAGGAATAGGATAGCACATTTTATTTTATTTTTTTTAATAAAGTCTATAATTACATCGTATACTTATATTTCCGTGGCAGTCTCTTGTTTTCTTCGATTCCTTCGTCGTTCGTGAACATCCTTTCCTACGATCGATCATCTTCTCCGTACCGTCTTGTTCTCTGGCTTCGTTGCGTTTTTCAACTCCGGTATTCGACGTCGTCGTCGTTCTTCGATCGCCCTTTTCTTCTACGGTTTCGTCTGAGGTTCTGTAAGTTCAATTCTTACACTATTTTTGAATAATTTGCTGTTATAAAAAATTTAATGCCGGCTACTTTAGTATTTAGGTTTGAATTGTTCGATGTTGGTGATTTGTTGATTTCATATTGATTTGAATGATTGAAGTCAATTGGTTTAAGTTTCCTTGGCTTGGTGCATTCTTTTACGTATTAGTGAGTTCAATGTGTGCGTCTTTTGTTGTAAACTTTCTGCCTTCTTGTTGGAATTAGTTTAGGCGTCGATTAGTTCTAATCTTATACGATAGTGGTACCAATTGGTTGCTGGTCTAGGTAACGGTTCAAAACAGTAGTGGCAAGGGGGATCGGTAGAAACCAGCATTCAACCATATAATACGAATGGAAATTTATTTTATAATTACCTTTAGTCAACCATTTTTTATATTCAAAAGTTGAGAGACTTCTTTAGCTTCATTCTTTTGTCAGTTGCCTTGGTGTTTGGGTGAGACCTGAGCCAGAGGTGAGAGGACTGTCTTAAGTAATAAGCTACGAATGAACGCATCTTGGACCAACTCAAATACGCTGGCTGAGGGATTTAATCATTACACCTTTTTTTTTTTTTTTGTTTGTTTTTCACAGTGCGGTTTTGGAAGAGACACGTGTTTATAACTTTATATTATTTGTGTATTTAAGATACTTTGAAAAAGCTTGATGAATGATGATTGTGTTGATGAAGTAATATGTTAATTGTTGATTTTGTAATATATTGTTTTAATTTATTTTGCAGCTGTTTTTTGTTTAACTATTTTGGTAGATACTAAATATGGGATTTTGTGATTTTTATATGATGCATGAAACTATTGATAATTTTCATGTTTTCCAATATTGCTAAAAAGCTCATGTGTTGCCTCCCTGGCTCGCGGCTGGTGGGTTGGGTTGGTCTGTCTCTTCTGCGGCTTTCCCTGTGCAAACCCACCGATTGGTGGATTGTGTGTTAGCCCATCCCGCTAGTCCATTTTGACATTGCATCTAAATGTAGAGTAGTAATAGAGCGTGATAGAATAAAATTTATTGTTCCTTCTATATACATACAGCAACATCTAGGAAGGAATTTTATGACCAAAGATGTGCCCAAAAACTTAGAACCATGACAACACTAGCTTTTCTGTGGGCATACTGCGTTGGGCTGCCATCAAACACGGATCGCTTCTTGAGAATAGCTTCATACACTCACTATAGTTTGAACTTGACTCCTTATTATGAAGTGACTATTTAACTATTTTTGTGCAGTCATTGATGGTGGAAACTTGGGATGGCACCATTTCGTCCACTGACTTCTACGTTGCCGCTTCTGCTTTTTCCCAGCGGTGGACAAAATTCAACTCCTGCCTTCCCCAGTGGACATGGGTTCCCTCTTGCAACCGACCTTGGGTTTCGAATGATAAGCACAAGGTAGCATTCTCATCTGTTACATACTTTCATCAATTGTTTGATTCTGACAACTTATAACACTTTATCCTTCTTATTTTTTAAGGAGGGATATTTGTCTATGGAAAATGTTCTTCTTCCTGGGTCACCTGAGGTGTGTTTTCTGTATGTGTGGAGTAATATCTAATTCAATGTATAGAAATATAAGAGTTTGTAAGTTTTCTACTTGATGCCTATCTTTATGCAATTTGAATTGTAGATTGTTCAGAAAGAGAATTGTGTAGAGAATGTTGAGTGCATCAGTGAGTGTCAAGATGAGCTTTCTGATGATGCCATTTTGGTAGGCATCTCTTGTTTCCCACAATGTTTCTCTGAAGTTTCTTGAGGTTTGAATTGGACTCTGGTTTGTTACAGTTTTGTGATTTTGGGTATGTTGTTAAATAAAGTTCCATATTTAATAAATATGGTATGGGAACACTAACCTTCATTGGCCCTGTTGGTTACTTTTTTCGTTCTAGGTTCACAATGATGGTCCTGGAGAACATCGATTCGACTTCCATGTTGTTTACAGTGCTTCTTTTAGAGTTCCCGTGCTCTTTTTCCGTGCTTACTGCAGTGGCAAGTTAATTCTCCTTCACTACACTAAATAAAAAAAATCACTATTTTTTGACATATGTGAGAGACCTTGATTTGTATGAGTAGCTTCAGCACTAAGTTGGTGGCTACTTTTAAGTTACATAGATCGCTATGAGTAGGCTCAATTGTGATGTTTTTATTTCGTTTTATGAGTAGGCTCATTTGTTAAAATTAGTGATCCTAGAGAAAATATTGACTAATGTTATCCATTAGAGCTGTTGGTTGTTGATGTTCACTAGAAATTGCTACCGTATTAGGCATATCTTTGGTGATTAAGCACTTGAGCCATGAGCGTGTACACAAAAGTTGATGCAGAGTACCAAAGTGGGGAGGATTTAAGGAATAAGATTTATTGTCGAGAATTATTATAATGCACTCGGTTTCTGTAGCTTTGGTGTGTTGGTTCCTTAATCTTGTGAGACATCTTGTGCTCTGATATATATACATATATTTTGATAGGTTAAAAGTCTTGATTGAATTTTGTACCCTGATTTGGGGCCTCATGTGGAAGCTGTGGTACCATTTTGTTGGAGTAAATATCCACTTCTAAGTTAGTTGTATAAGATCTTTACTGTTAAAACAATGATTTGTATACCACAACTCAATTACCCATTACATTTTCTTATTTATTTGTGATTACTGATATATGTACTCAGCTTTATTGATTAAGTTACAGGATTTGATCAATTTCATGTTGCAATTCTGCAGATGGGCAGCCCCTGTTGTTAGATGACATCGAAAAAGATATCTCCATCAGTGCAGCCGAGCAGCTAACTAAATCGAAGTGGACATTCATTACTCAGGAGGTTAAATCCCTTTCCATCCCCATCCCCTCAGAATTGTGTTATTACTTTCAATGTGGATCTCTGTCTAAGACGAAGATGGAGTGCTTTCATTTGAATCTTAATGTAGAGACAAAAGAAACTCTAAAAATAAGGATCATGATCTCAGTTAAATTGAATGTCCATGTCATGTCTGTCAAAAAATTTAAGTCGATGATATTGATTAGTGTTTGTTTGATTGCATTGCAGGAACACCCTCATCTGAATCGACCTTGGTACATGCTGCATCCTTGCGCCACAAGTGAGTGGATGAAGCTACTCTCAGCAGCCTGGATACCTGCAGAAAATTTTTTGTCATCGTGGTTCTCAGTTGTCGGCCAGGTCTTTCGTCTTAAAATTCCTTACCAGATGTTGCTGGATATACAAGCTACTTAAAAGGTGTGTTTACTTTGGGTTTATTTATTATGTGTTTGTGTTTTGATTTTTGGGTGAAATAATTTTTACAGAAGTTGAAGTTGCGGATAGAAAAAACATGTCGTTTGAGATGTTGCTGACTGATGTTTAGTTTAAAATTTTTATTTGAATGCGACTCTTAGATGTAGATCTCCTCAAAAAGAGATTTGACACTGATTCTTGATAAATTAACATATGTATTAAATCACATGTAACAATAATTATTTTGCCTTCTTAAAAGTTGATGTTTGATTGTGGAGGTTGTCAGACCCGGTAAACAGCTTGGATTGGCGCGGTTAAAATTTGCCTTGCAATTTATAAATTAAATTTTCGAGTTGTTTTAGAAATTAAATAATTTTAATTTTATTCATAATGCAAACAGCCAAATCTCTGCTCTTATGATCACAGCAGCTTAATTGTGGGTGTGTTTATTTTGTTAAATTTTATTATTTGGATTCTATTTTATATATATATATACACATATATATTCTATAACAAAATATTCTATCCAATATTCAAATTATTTTTCTTCAAATTCACCTAAAAAAATATACCTTATGTTTCTATATTTATTTATTTATTTTTAATAATGTGAGATTGTTTCTCTTTGAATGCGTTTTGGTTAGATCCCTAGCCAATTCTAATAGTCTATCGCAAAAGTTTGAGCTCGACCTGACAGTAAAGATTGAATCCCCTGAACTTGTCAACCTACTAATTACTACCGTTAAGCCATCTACAATGGAGGCATTTCTTCCCAACCGGATGAGATTGCCGGCTCCTAAGGATTCCCATACTGTACCTTACCGAAATCGAAAATACCGATTCGATACCAATATTGTATCTAATTTTTTGGTACGACGAAAATATATATCGGTATCGTACCGAAAATTTCAATATATCAAATTTTGGTATATCGAAACTTTCGGTACGATACCGGTATATACTGTTTATACCGAAATTTTCAATTTTGATACGATATCAATATATACCGCTTATGTCGAAAATTTTGATTTCGGTACCATACCAGTATATATCGATTATACCGAAAATATAATTTAAAATTTCAAAATAATTAAAAAATTAATAATATCACCATTCTCCAAAAATCAATAAATTTTCAATAATCTACCTATGTTTTTTGTTATGATTTAAAAAATAATACTCCCTCCGTTCCAGATACCATGTCCACGTTGCCGTTTCTGTCCCTCTCAAATACCATGTCACTTTTATTTTTTGAAAAATGATTAGTTATTTTAATCTTAATTTATAATTATTTATATTATAGGATAATTATTTTCACTAATATATTCTTAATTATCTACTAATTACACCCCTTCTAAAATACCGTGTCTACAGTGTAGCAGACACGGTATCTGGAACGGAGGGAGTAATAATTATTATTTATATTAATAATTAAATTATTTAATAAAAATAATATCGGTACGGTATCATACCGAAATACCGAACTTTCCAAAAATTCATACTGATACCGTATCGAAAACTTCTGTACGATATCCACACCGTACCGAAATTTTTTATGTTTTCGACACGATACGGTACGATATATCGGTATTTCGGTATGTTCGGTGAATTTCTCCATCCTAGGCTCTCCTCTATTCCTCTATCCTTCGCTACTTAATTAATCAAGGGTTCTTTTTTATTACGAAATTTAAAAAAATTTAATTTATATAGTTAATTAGTTATACTTTTTGGATTAAAAAAAACTAAAATATTTATTTATTATTGTTTTTAATGTTGAATATTTAATATGTTAAATTAATTTTCAGGGAAAAAAATTATAACTCAATTAAAATTTATATTTTCTGTTGAAAATGTTATTCTTCATTACCTTTTCGTAACCAAAATAATATATACAAAAAATATATATTGACATTAACACAATTATTGTGTAGATAGTAAATCATACAAATAATTAGATTAAGAGAAGTAAATTAACTTTAATAATCTTAATATAATTAAAACAATATCAAAAATTTATATCCCATAAAAATACTAATCTAAACAAAACCTCAAAAAAAAAAAAAAATCCCTCCAAATTTTTTTCTCACTAAATAGATTCTCAAGAAGTCTACGTACTTAATTTCCCTCTGAAAAATTTAATCACATCAATCCCCAATTCAATTCATAAGCAAAGTTAAAACATAGCAGGCAAGGCGTTAGTGGATCCATATGCCAATTTTCAAAATACAGCACCCATTCACAATGATCCATATACTAGTTTTTAAACAAGAACTCCATTTCTTAGCCATACAAACAAAACACAATCCAAACATTATCCTACGTAACAAAAAAAACAGCTCCCATCATTAAAAAATTAGCATGTAAATTCCATGTACAAGTTGTTGAACATTGCTATTTTCAAAATGTATATTCATCCCTAAATTTGTTGCAAAATAAGCATTATATCCAAAACGAATACTCATCCATACTAGCAAGTACAAACAAATATAAGAATAAGAAAAGTGTTCCATAAGGGATGGTCTGATGGCGTGGCGAGTGAATTTGTAACCGTGAGGTCATAGGGAATGAAAACTAAATTAGAATGAAAACTAAAATAAATAAAGAGAGATATTACTCGTGTCCGATTCGTCAATCGATCAGATGTGAACTCAAGCGTTGTCAAGACCCAACACTTCTAAACCAATGGAGACTTAAACAATTTGGTTAGAAACTTCGGTCGGTTTTGGAAGCCACTAACCCAAAAGGAAGGGATCGTCTACCCAAAAGGAAGGGATCGTCTCCACAGAGAATGTGTAATTAACTCTTTCGTGTTCTAATGCAGTAGATAAAAGGGGTGAATTTTCTCTTATTATCTAATGAAAATAAAATAACAAAGCAATTAAATCAACAGAGAACTAACTATCAAGGGAATGTCTTGACTCAATAAAGTTAGTTCTTATTAAAGTATCAATAAATTGGTTATAGTTATCAAAAAGCTCTGGCAGCCAATTTTTTCTTACAGTGTAGGTAATTAAGATACGACCGTTAACTACCCTTAATTAAACTAATAAACCTAGGTGCGCCCCAAAAAAATATTGTCTAATCGCATTCTAATCTAGAAAATTCCAATTCAAAACAATTACTACCTAAGATGAGCAATTAGATTTTATTGTCTAACCCCCGGGAAGGAACTATTCAATCCGGTTGTCACTTATTCAAATGCGAATATAATTACAGATATCTTACCCGAATTGACTTTAGATTATCAGACCAACTTAAATATCATTACCAAAATATTCAATCAATCTAACAATCGCAAATATTATTTTCAGGATTAAACAAATATTGATAATAAAAAAGAACTTTTATAAAGAAAATCAAGAATCTTCAAAACACAAGAACCAAAACATTATCATTCTTCAAACCAGAAAAGTATCTACTTCATAATCAAATAGCAAAGAACAATAATAAGGAAAGATAAAATCATAGTGAAGGTAAATCTTCTATGTCGATTTGCTTTTACGCGATCTATGAATCTGTCCGTCTTATGCTCCTGTGTGTATCTGCTTCTGGCCGTTCTCTCATCTTTTGCGTGGGACTCCCCTTTTCTCTTTTAATTTTGCCCTATTTATTTAGCAGTTGGGCTTTTGGGTCTTTAATTAAATTCACATGTCAAGAGAGTGAAGTTAGTCATGGCCATGACTAACTCGGGGGTGCAAATCTGAATTTTTCTTCACTTTTTCTTCCAATCATAGCAAATTAGCTTGTTGTCTTCTGCATGTCCGAAATAAAGAATACGCACAGAAATTAGGTAGAATCCAGTCAAAATCAATCAAATATCGCATATAATATGAACACTTAACACATGCGATCTCTAACTATCAAATCTCTCCACACCTAGATCATGCTTGCCTTCAAGCATAGATTCGAAATAAGCCACATAAATCGCAGGTGACTCAATATGACAAGAGAATCCAACACAACCATTTCAATCCGAAAGTCAACACGTCAAGCCAAATCGACCTCATAAGATAAAGTGTATACGCACATGCTCTCTGAAGAAATAAGTGTATAATTGGTTTAACGCTCAGGTAGTGCAACAAAAGCTTATCCTATAGGCTTGAGTAAGAATCAAATCTCCCTTACTTAAAATATTCGAATCTAACATAAAAAATCAAAGGGATTTTCAATAAGGGTTGTAGTGGAGCTTATAGTTAGGGGTAGGAAAATGATATACAAAGGAAAAAATATGTTAGAAAAGAACCCAATAAGAACATAATGCTAGCACATGAAAAAAAATCGGCATAAACAATGAAATCCTTACTTTATTCACTACCCAAACTCAATAACAAAATTAAATAAAAATACTTCATCAAGGTGATTATTATTTTTTCTTTTTTTCTTTTTTTCTTTTTGTTTTATTTATTTATTTATATATATTTTTATTTTTGGCTTTTGCCTTTATATAAAGATACCTTTACTACCCATAATTATTCTGCATACTATGATTTATTCGTACCCAATTTTGTTTCCAACTAGTGCCAAATAAATAAAGTGCATTACAACATGAACTTAAAGTAATTCTTCCTAACATAGGGTTCAAATCGGAGAAGGCTTAATTAAAAGAAAGGTGTGAGGCTAAAAGACGGTTTATTATAGAAGAAAAAATAGGTTAAAAAGGCTCACATTGGCTAACTAGGGAAAAATTATTGTTTTTGGTGATAACGAAAGGCTTAATTGGGTTACCTAATGCTCTTATTATTTCCAAAATGCAAGACTTGATAGTTGCAAGTTCAACATGCATAATCACTCAAGTTCTAGGTCATCTAATTGACCACTACAAATCACACATGAAAGAAATTTTCAAAAGCTTGAATATATGCAATTTATTTTCTAATGTAACTTTTGGAACATAGACTCAAATCTCACATGGTTCAAACGTCGACTTGACTCAACATATCATCAATCAAATATCATTAGTCATGCTAGACAAACCTATCACACAAATCATATTTGATTCACTTAAGACTAATCGCAAAAACATGCAAAAGGGCAGCAAATTAGGCATAAAAAGTAGCACTAAATGAAAATTTTTCCCAAAAATTTGCATAACTCTCTCCACACCTAAAGTATGCATTGTTCTTAATGTAAAGAAAGAAAAATTAAAATAGAAGAAAGAGAAGGGGAGTATAATGCTTCCATGGTTTGAAGAGCCGATTTCAATCGGTGTGGGGAATGAGTGACTGGATCATTAGCTTTAGCTTGGAGAGGGTTGTAGTCACTTTAGTGCAAAACGCAACATTCTCAACG